ATGATGCCAGCACAACTGTCAGCGTGACCATGCTTTTAACCAAACCAGGAACTCATCCAACTCAAACCAAACAAAATCCGAACAAAAACAAGCAGACAAAAAAAGCACTATGGAAAATTTGTGCATCTTTTTGTTCAACTTCCCCATTCCCTGTGCTCTCTCTCCTGTCTGTGCCCTGAGCCAGTTCTGGCACACCCTCATTGCACAGCAAGCTGAACCAAGTCAATAAAATGCAGGGGGAAAGAAAAAGGATTTCTTTTTTCTGAACCAAGCTGAATTGGCTGGTGTTTCAATCAGACAAGAAACATATCTGGCACAAGGCAGGGTGGCAGGAGCAGGGAAACTGAGGAGGAGGAATCGAGAAGGGCGATGAGACAGGATAACACCTAAGGATGAGATGGTGACAAACTGTTAATTCAGCTCAGCTATATCATGAAACTATACCCTCCATATCTTGGGAAATCTAAACCCATTTCTCTTATGAATAAAGTTGCCTTGGATCACAAAGCCAAGTGAAACACCAGGCTCTGTTTTGCCATCTATGAAATGGGGATAATAGGTATCTATATCATCTAGTCTTATTTACTCTAAATACATCTTTACAAAAGGATGCTTCAAGAGCACAGACAAGTGTTAAAAGAAAAAAACAGACCCATAAAATCAAACCACATAACCCTCAACCAGAAAGCGAAGTCCCTGCTCCCTAGACAAACTGAAATACTTTCAGCTGATGAATTATTCATTTTGTTTAGAGCAGAATTTACAGTTATTTTAATTTAATCTTTGGATAAAGCATATACTTAAAAAACAACACTCAACTCCCCTCCCCGACCCCCCAGTCTTTAATGGCGCTCAACAAAAGTGCCTAAAAACAGGTATACAGTCATTGAGTCTGCTGCCAATCTTAGACTTCTTTTTGCCTGAAAAAGAAGATAAACCTCAGCTCCAACATATGATTAGAGGAGAAGCTCCAATCATATATAAAAAAAAAGATAGACAAGACAACACAGCTTCATTAAAAAAGAGAAAACCCTAAGGGAATTTTCAATTTTGTAGTTCTAATGAGAGGGGTTGAAAAGAAGTAGTAAAGCAGAGAAAAGAAAAAAAAATTATCTTTGGGACAAGACGTAAGGAAGAACACAAAACTGTACCAGAAACGGACTTTCAAGTTTAACCTCAGGTTTTCACAGAAAGGACTACTGTAGTCTTAGCTCTGTTCCCAAAGGAGGGTAAGCCACACGACAACATCACCGCACACAAAACTCAGCATATTTCATGAGCAGGAGGCTCAAGAAGAGAACAGGTCAAGGTTGACATCACTAGCACAGCAGCGAGAGGGAGCTTGCACTGCAGTTGTCTGAACCACACCTAGTCTGCAGTTAAATATAGAACTTTACTTTCTGGAACTATTGCTCCTCTTAACCTTCAGAGCATAAATATTTGGAGAGATATTTAAAAAAAAAAATAGAAAGGGGAGAGAGAGGGAGAAAGAGACCTGAATCTATTGTCCGAAATCTAAGCCTAGCGACTAATAAACTACCCTGGGAGAATTTCCAAAAAAGCAGTAAAGACTGGAGAATTGAATTACAGAAACCGCAAGCAGCATTCTGGAAACCCAGTATAAACCAATTAGTTTCTTTAATACACATACCCTGTATACAGACAGTTATGTACATTAGACATTTAAGTATATGTGCTGGCCCTAACTCTAATCTTAATTATATCAGGTTGGCACCAATATAAGAATTAATTGCACTGGAGTTTTTGTTGATTTAAATCTTTTAAAAAAGAGAAACTAGCCCTTCAACCCTCACCCTTCTCATTCAGTTCATGGGCCAAATCCTGACCGGTGCCGTGCATTATCAGCTGGAGAGCCTGCTCCTAGAAGCAACTCTCTCTAATTTTTGCAATCAAATTCAGATTCTTTCCTTGAAGTGCTCTCAGCTGGTTTGACACAATGACTTTTAGCGACTGCATTTCTTACCAACTGAATCCAAGTCAAAAGCATGTACCGCAATTCACTGATATAGCAGCCTAAGTCTTTGATCCTCACCCAAAAAATGTTTGTACAGCTTCGCAGCAACGTTTCAGAAGTTTATAGGAAGAAGTAGCTCTGCATTACCTCCACAAGAGTTTCCATTAAGGTCTAGATTCAACCCTCTTATCTTCAGGCATTTAACTACGTCACCAACGTTAGGTCTAATTGCAGAAGGCTCCTATTTTGCAGCCAGAGAGGAAGGTGCATACAGCCCTCCTACAAGTTGCATTAGTGGGATGGAATTGTCTTCTGGATCTCTGGTTCTCATTGCTGAATAGCTAGAAGAGTAGACGAACAAGCACTTTACTGAGGTTCCTACAGAAGAAGCTCAAAACAAGGTGCCTAAATCCCTGCGTGCACCAACAGCACAGCAAGATGCTGCAGGGCATACGAACGCAATGCAATGAAACTTGCATTTAATTAAGGAAAATAGTCCATTAAACTGAGTAAGATGCCTCCACTCACAGTCAAAACTTAACCCTTCAGAGGAAAATGCAAATAACCAGATAAATGGCACCAGACCACCTGCAATGCCAAACACCATTTTAGTGGGCCAAATGCTTATTCCTGACCCTATGGCATCAAGTGAACCTGATCTGCTCGGGCCAGACAGCCAGGAGTCTGGTTACCTTCACCCTGGCTGCTGTTATCAGTCATATTACGGACAAGCCTGGACGACTCCGGTGACTTGTAAGTGAAATTCGTTAGCTTCTTCCTAGGGCTCCCAAGAGAGTGTTTTCCTCCTACTCTTTCAAAACTTGTCACATAAAACAGCTCATCCTTACAGCTCAACTAGGCCTATTAAAGTGTAACAGTTAAACAACCATATTCCCAAGGTGTTTTATGGTGTAGTTTTATTGTCATACAAAGTTTTTACCATGGCTCGAGTTTACTGTGTTCTTGCCTCAAGTAAAACTCCTCAGCCAGACTTTCCAGCACCCACACACAAGGCTGTGAAATTCAGTGCTCGCGGTGACCTAGAAAGGGCTTTGCAAATTAATATTAAAGCCAGGATTAAGGCAACGTGGCAGAATTCTCCATTAAACAGCAGACTAAGAAGAAAAGCCCAGCAGCAAAGACCTTACAGAGCACAAGGCACAGCGAACAAAACCAAGAATGACAAAGAAGAAAGAGGGTAATGAAAAATTAGATCAAGTGATGATGTATCTGCATAGACAACTGGATGATTTCCAATGTCAACACCGACTTGCTTCTTTCCGTACACAAAACCAAATCCCACACCTTTCCAACAGACACATACCGAACTGCTACAGGTTGTCTGGCTTCTTGAGAGTGTCATAGCAGAGACTGGCTTTAGGAGAAGGAGGAAAAGACACTGCTTGCTTGCTTAGCTTTCTCTTTCTGCTCTGTGTTTCCACAGCACCTACCACGGAGGAGTCTAAGGCACTATCATGATTCAAACAGCAAATAATAGCAGTTATTGCATTTGAGGCCAGACAGAAACCAAGATGGAAAACACCCACGCCCAAAGAGCTCTAATTCTACTCCAGAGTAACTAAATATTTCACACACAGAGGGTTAATACGGAGATGGTCCTGTCCTGAAGGTACACAGAGTTGTAACATTTTTGTCATCCTACATACCGCAATCAGGACAGTCACACAAGCATTTTCAAGTGCTAAAGATCCTACACTGCACATTGTATGGCCTGTGCGGAGGGGGACACGAGAAAAACTCAGTCCCCTGTACTATCAGATTTCAAGACTTTGCATTAGTTGGGTCTAGCAAAGCAGGACAGATTTCAAACATTTACATTATTTCCTTTGGGGAAACATTCCGCCAAAGTGCAGCGCCAGGACAGAATATGGAAACAAACACTTAGTTACTGGTCTCAGCCCTGCAAAGACCCCGTGATGGCCTGTGGCCACACAGAAGTATGTCCATCTTGTGTGTAAAACGGCTTGGGTCCCTGAGGGAGCTTGGTATTTTGGTCTTAGCTTAGGCAAAAGGAGACACCCTCCTGCTCCTAATCAGTTCCAAAGACCCTTCTGCAAGCAAGAGGAAAGAGAAGCATTACAGAAAGGGCAAAAGCACATCCGAAAAATCTGCTGGCCAAGGAATCAACGGAGTTGCAAACCAGAGCGGAGTGTAGCACACACAGAGAGTCATCTGGTGCTTTCATGGAAAGGAGGTTCCCCGTGCTCTTGGAGGGAAGAAAACTCCTCCCAGCCATTTAGCCCTTAACAGAAATAAGCATTCATCCCTAAACTACGTTTGAGTTCACCAGCCCTTTTCTATTCTACAATATTATCCACAAAAGAGACATTACCGTAAGCAGAGGGAAAGGCAAAGCGCATAGGCAGCCAGGAGACCAGGCTCAGAGAGTGCTTCGTCTCTGCAGGACTGAAGAGCTGGGAGCTCTAATGATCACCTGCCACTCTGCATATGTATTTGAAAGATCCACTTTGCTCTGTACTGTTCCCAGCTCGTGTAAAAGGGTTGCAAGAGCCTTTTTGGACAAGGAATCTACTGCTTGTTAGGCAAAGTTCTGCATCCTGAACAATTACAGCGCTGCCGAAATGCCAGTATCTACTATAAAATAACATGATACATTATGAGGACAAATCAGTAAATAAGGAAAAGAGAAATGTCAAGAGTGTGCAGACCCCCACCAAGACAGAGCTTGGATTAGGCTAGAGGGAAAGGTTTCTGCAAAAGCAAAGGAAGAGCTGAGCACTCTCAGACGAAGCTAAGGACAAGATGTCTTAGAGGCTACAAAAAATGAGATATTGTCCAAAGCAGTATAACATTTTTTCAAACAACAGAAGGGGTGAAATAGCTTGTCCTACTCTATCGTCTAGAATCAAATGATTACACTGTTATTGGCTTGCGTGATGCTAAAACACATCCATGAAAATGAAGCTGGTGTTCACCAGAGCAGGAAAAAGGATACTTGTATTGGCTTTAAAATGCCCATCTCCGTAACCCCAAACTGACATACCTTTCCATAACAGCCAGGCACTCCTTTCTCCATGTGAACCGACTGCCTCGCCGTAGTCTGAAGGTCCCAGAGGTAGCTGTGACTGGGGGAGGCGTCTGTCTCCATTCTGGCTCTTCTATTGGGATAGGAGCGGGTCTCATGCTTAACGTAGCCCCTAAGGATAATAAATACTGTGTTTCCTAGTGGATTAAAAATCATGCCCATTTTCTCACTCCTGCTCGTGAAAAAAAGACAAGACAGATGATAAAACCATTCAAACTAAAAAAGTAAAGCATTATCAAACAGACACCTTAAAGATACACAAAGCCAGCTAGAGTTCCCATCCCCAACCTCCAAGCCAGAGAGGTATCAGGTGAGCATGGAAATCTAAGGGAGACATAACCGAGCTGAGAGCCACTTAGGAAAAGCTGTCCTGTCTTCATCAAGAGGAAAAGTGTCTTACAGGAAGGGTGAGGGATTTATTTAGGTTGTGCTGCTACCTCTTCTGCCACGAACTGGGAAATAGCAGGTTTCTATTTAATCGTACAACAGTCGCAGGAAGCAAAATGTAAATTTATACCAAAGGTATTTCAATATATCTGAAGAGCTGAGGAAACACTTGAAATAGCTCCACTGATACAAACACACCCTGTGACCTGTGCAAACACAGGCTCCTGAGTGCCAGGTTGCCTGGAAAAGTCAGTGAAAGCAGATTAACATCACACCTTTCCTCTTCTGTCCCCCTTCTATGGATATATTCCTCCTTTCAAGAAGCCTGAGCTGGAAAGCATCAAGCAAGAGACAGGACTTGGCCCAATGCCCTCAGGAAAGGAAACTTACCCCTGATTCTTTCCACAACAGCCCCTCAGTTAACAAATGAAGATAAATCAAGACACACTGGGAGACCAATCTTTCATATATCCCTTGGTGAGGATGGGAACCTGGTATAGGACATTAGTAGGTAAAACAGGGTACGTTCTGACGGACAGCTTTGTGCTCAGTGACTTCCCCTGGAGGGAAGAAATAGCTGTTCTTGTGTGCAAAAAATAAAAAAACCCAGTCATCTGAAAAGATAAATCACCACCTATATCCATATGCACACTGAGCTCAACTGGAATTCATGCACTGAACCAGCCTGGGCAGATCCAAGAGAAGGAGGCAGTTCTGCTCACAGGAGGAATACAGTATTGTGCCCACGTAAAAGCAGGGCTGAGACAGCAAATCCCTCTGGGTACACAGACTTGCTCAGAATGGTTACGATTTAATCATAAAAACACACTGTGTTAGTGAAAAACCACTAGTTGTTTAATTTAAAACAGAGTAAAAGGGTTAAGGGAACTTAAGAGTTTTAACCAATAAACAAATTCCTACAGTTGAAAAGGAAGAAATTAGCTATTCATGCATTTGGCTGTGTTCCTTTCCAGAAATGCACAATGAGTATTTTCCTTACTGCCAGGGGCTTGCGTCTGTGTTAGGCAGTGAAGCCCAAAATAATTAAAAACTTTTACCCAGGAGAAGTCTATGGGAAGTGAAACCCACAATCTCTGCCTTGCACGCACAACGGACGGTGACCCTTACAAATTCCCAGCTAATGAGCCTACACAGATTACTTACTTTTATTGACACATGAAATATTTCCTATATTGTCAATTTATTGGGAAGCCATTTCAAGGAAAGTTCCTTATCTACTCTTTCTAGTACTTGCACAGTTTAGGGGTCTGGGTCAGTATCAAGTTGCTAGGCTTTAAATACACTTCAAAAACTAAAAAAAAAAAAAAAAAAAAAAAAAAAACCCAAAAAACTTAAAAAA